ACAATCCATGTTTGAAATTCTTCTTCTATAATTTTAGTGTTCTGAATTTGGTTAATGTCAATTGCTGGGGAGCTGTTGTTCCTCTTTGGGGGTGTGCTTTCCGTTTGAGTCTTCATACTTCCAGATTTCTTTCGCTGGTTCCTTCCCATCTGGATCAGTTGTTCCTTCTTGCCTTTAGATTTTCGTTTGGATAATGACATGCGCTGTTTAGTCTCTGAGCCAGTAGGTGGTATTTGTGGGTGAGATTTGACCACACCCTTTATGATGAATCAGTAGATGCAGTAAAAGGGTGTGCAGGATCACCTCCCTGCCAGTAGGTGGCACTTGCAAGGAGGATTGAGCTGCAGTGCTGTTTTTGGGTCCTGTAACCAGCTCTTGTTCCTCTGGAGAGGCCCTCTTGTGCCTCGGGTTGTGGGTGGGGCCCTGGGACTTCCAGGTGTGTCCTTATTCTCCACCTCAGTGGGGGCAGGTTTGGGAGTGAGTCTGGGCAGGGCTGAGTTCGGTCAGCCTGTCCTCAAGTTCCACAATTGCTGTTAGCAGGGGTCAAAGGTCTGTTCTTTGCTTCTGTGCAAAGCTGCTGGGAGGGGCTGAAATGGCTCCACTCAGCTGAAAAGTCTGGGCTTGGGGGCTGGGGCTGTCTGAGACCTGCACTCTGGAGCAGGTCTCGCTCCTCTCCATGTTCCCCCACTCCATGGCCTCTACCAGGCCTCTGCCAGCAGGCAGGACCTCAGGCCAATGGATCTCCCCTGGCTGTGACATGGGTTGGGAGGTTCCCTTCCCAGGATCGCAGCCTGAACTGGGTACACAGCCCTCTTTTGGGAGGAGGGTTGCCACTCAGGCATGCTGATCTGCCCCTGAAGGCACATACTCCTCAGTAGGCTCTTTCACAGATATCTCTTCTGTGCCCCGCGGCAGTGCAATCATGACCTGGCTGTATGGGGTCTGGTCTGCAGGCCTGTCCCCTGGGCGCTGGAGATCAATCCCTGACCCTGCTGGGGGAGGGGTGCTGGTTTCGAATCACCTACAGAGTGTCCAAGCTGGATCTATTTCACTCCACCTCGGGATTTGGCCCGCTCTCCTAGAGTCACCAGGCAAGCAGCACCTGGGAGGGCTGGCAGGTAGGGAGCTCACAGTCTGAGTACTCCTCAGTCTGCTGTAGGGCCCCAAAAGGAAAGATCCCATTCCTTGGAGATGCCTCCGTGTGATGGCTAAATTGTCTCTCTGGGCATCCATGGGTAGGGAAGGGGAAGGAGAGAATGGAGCAATATGGCGTCCGCTGATAGGGTCGGGTCTGCGCACGGGAAGGTGCCCCGAGGGAGCTGGGAGCCTGGTGCCCTGTTGCCAAGAGGCCACTGCTCACTGGCAGCAGCCATCTCTGGGCTGGTGTTGGCAAGTCTCTCCAACTGCTCAGGAGCCGACTAACAGTCCAAGATGCAAGGGAGGGGAAAGTTATCTGCTTGACCTACCCTTGTGGCTGGTCTTCAAGCCTCTTGGGGACCTTTCTCCTTCCAGTTCTCCTCCGCAACGTCTTCCCGTGCAATCTCCTGTAGTTTCTGGCACCCTACCTTCTGACCCTTACCCAATCTATGTTTTTCTGCTAGTTTATTTTTTTCACTTTCTTCTAAAATGTGTCTTTTTTGCAGAGACACTCTGACTGGTGGCTTTTCTTGTCCACTATCTTGGATCCTCCCCTGAAAGTTGATTCTTTGCAAAGGCTAACAAATAATTTGTCTCAACATTGTCCAATAGAATAGAATGTAAGCTATGAGCGTAATTTTAAATTTTCCAGGAGCCATGTTAAAAGGTAAAAGTAAACATATGAAATTAATTTTAATACTATGACATATTTAACCATATATCAAATATCCCTTCAATATATAATCGGCACAAAAATACTAATGAAACATTTTACGTTTTTTGTACTATTTTAAATCCACTGTGTATTTGACACTGTAGCACATCTACATTCAAGCAAGCTACATTTCAAGGGCTCAGCAATCATATCCGGCTGGCAGCTACCATGTTAAACAGTGCAGATCTATCTCAAGAATGGGAAAAGAAACTTACAGATGTAACAGAT